GTCCATTAGCGTTCCATAAGAGAATAGCTAGGGACTTTGAGTTCATCGAGGGAAGCTAAGTGGGATTTCAGAAAGGAGTCTGGTTAGAAGGGTTATGAGCGGTTTGATAGTCTGTTGAAGATCTATCAGGAATGATGATAAGATAGTGTTGATGTCGAATGGTGTTTGGCTGGGAAGTGGGTTTGGATCAGGAGGTTGTGATGGGTAGGTTATGCGACTAGGAATGTTGGGTGGGGGATGGGCCCGTCGTGGGGTACGAGGAGGAGGAGGATCTAAATTCTGTTGGACTTGTGGAGGGGGGTTCATCCTGGGATTAGGAACGAATGGAGCTGGATGTGGATGCTCTGGCGGGAGTTTGACTCTTAAGGGTAAATGATGAGGAGGGATTTGCTGGCGAGGAGGTTTATGCTGAGTATTAGGGATTTTGGTCTTGGATTGGAAGGCCTGAGGCGCCTGACGTTGAGGTTGCTTCTTACTGGTGGAAGACTGGGAGTGAGAATTTCTGAGATTCTGGTGTGGTGAGTCCTTAGCTGTAGAGATGGATGGTTGTTGTTGGATGACGAGGGAAGGTGAAGTCGGCAATGCTGGGAAAATATCCTGATTTTCAATTTCAGGTGGTTCAGTGTAAGTTTTCTGAGCAGATCCAAGATTTTTCACCGCTGAGTTTCGTGATCTTTGTTTGTAAAGATTTTTATATACTTCACATCCTCTGTAGCTCGCAGGATGGGCTTCGCCACAAAGGGCACACATCGCAGGCTCATCTCTTGGCTTCTGGCAAGTGTCTGAAGCGTGTAGGCCGGCACATTTAACGCACCTGACTTCGTGATAACAATAGGCCTTTGTATGGCCCAAGTTTTGACACTTAGTGCATTGTACAATTAGAGGCTTCTGTTTCGGTTCCTCAAAACGGACAATTGAGTAAACCAATCGTTGAACCTGGAATATTTCAACATTGGTTTTTGCTGGTTCCAGGTCTATAAAAAATAATGGTAGCGGATATCTTTCTCTAGGATGTAGTACAGGTGCTATGTGCCTGACATTATGACCGATTTCTTCGAGGCCCGATTTGATAGCAGATATGGGTGTGGTTGAATGTAGTCCTCTCAGGACCACTCGATACGCCTTTTCTTGTTTTAATTGGTAACAGTGGAAGTCGTAGTTATTGGTTGTTAAGAAATTGATTAGTTTTTTATAATTGTCTCTTGAATTAGTATTAATTTTTATGTCGTTCACTCTCGAGTAACATCGAAAATTTGGCTGTCCGATCAAATCTGCAATTTGTTGACCAAACGACATAAAGTTCTTAATTTTTTAAACAAATATTGGCGGCGGCTCAGGATCAGAAAAATCTTGAAGCTGCGGAGTCTTGTGAGATAGGTTGTTTTCTTGAATTGAATTTTTGCTTTCTGATGTTTTTGGTGCAGTTGGCTCTGATTGAGTGGCATTAGATTTGCTCCTAGTTCTCGGTGGAGATTTATCTTGTTCTGGTTGCTTATTTGATTTATTTTTCTTTTTTTTTTTATTAGGTGAGTTTTGTCCCGATCCGGGAACTGAGTTTCGGAGACGCTTTTGGAGTGTACGCCTTTTCAAATATTGCGAGTCGGTCTCGCTAATTTCCGAAAAGGGTGTCTCATTCTCCGTGTCTTCACATGATGTGTTCTTATCCAGATCCATCATGATAAGTGTTAGAGAAAATTAAGAAAAAGAAAAAAAAAATATGTATATATATATAAACCTAAATATTAAAATTAAAATTTATGAGATAACTTCTTAAACACTAAGCTATTTACAAAATTATTTACATAAATATATACAGATATAAAATAAAATATAAAATAATTCATTTCCAAAAAATAAATAATCAAAGAAAAAAATGAAATAAAAGAGTCTCTGGAAAGAAAAAAAAAAAAATATATATATAAAGAAAAAAAAATGAAGTTAAATGTCTTGGATTCGAACTGAGAATAACACTGAAGAATGTTATTGTACACAGTTCCGAGCCTTGGCTTGAACCTATCGCAGATAAGGTAAAACCCGCAAGGGAATTACTAGCCACATGGGCTAACCAAACGAGCACTAATTTATAACTGTTTCATTGTTAATAAATAGTCACTCACCTGATCATATGTGAATATAAAAATATAAAACTATTAATATAGTCACTGTTGAAAAAGTCTTAGAGCAGTATTTTAAATAATAAGCACATTAGATCGTATCAAAGGCAGAGCGACGTGTAACTTGAATTGCACTAGCGGCCATGACACTTGCGACTCCAAGCATAGATTTAAATCATTCTCCTTAAAATACCTAAAACTGTTCTCTAATTTGACATGTACTTTATGGTACTCTGCATGTCTCGTACTTACTTCAAATTTTTTAACAAATTCGCAATCTAGGACTTCACTTAGATATAGGTCTCACTTGGAATCTCCATACTAGACTGAAACGATAAGAAACTGCTCGACGTTTCTGACTGCTCCAACACTTACTAGACAAACGCTCTAAACTTTCAATTAATTACAAACCTATATGGACAGACGGAGTTGAGCTTTGGGGTTCTACCAAACCATCGAATTCCTATCGTATCCAATCCTTACAATCCAAAATCCTTAATGCCCCATATTTTGTCACAAATAAACCCATTCATAAAGACCTTAATTTTCATATGTCGCTGATTTAGCCCGAATCAGATACCTATCCTTTCATGATAAACTCCAGTCCAATCCAAATCCACTTGTTTCCACCTTGCTTCTTCCTCGATTCCTAATAATCTCCCTAGGCGTCTGAAAAGAAGATGGCCGCGTGATCTTCTCACCTAGAATTAAATAGGGAGTGCTACCACTGGGCAGTATCTCTTCAGGTCTGTTCATTTTTACTTGTTGTATTGTTTATACAGTTGTAAATTTCATTAAATAAATAAAATAAACTTAATCCAATAGATTTAGATTGACAAAATAAATGTGGTTCTGTTATACATATGCGATTTGTGATTGAAGATTTCATATCAATGAAATTTTGATTTAAATGAAAATTAAAAGTTTTACAAAACACTTAACAAATTATCAGAAATCCTTAGAGATTCCATATTCATTTTTGTTTTATTATTTTCACTCATATACATATATATATATATATATATATATATATATATATATATATATATATATATATATATATATATATATATATATATCATGAGATATATCAATATTTTAAAAAAACAAAATTGAAAAAAATGATTTATTATTCATTTTTGTAATTTTGTAATTTGGGTGTTTCGTTGTAATTTTGCTACAATTTTTAAGGTCGGTACAAATATAGTTGTTAATGGTTGATCTAAACAGGAAATCGAAACTTTCCATTGTAAACAAGTTACTGATCTACAAGACAATATTGAAACCTATCTGGACTTACGGACTTGAACTGTGGGGAACAGCAAAATTTTCTAACATCAAACGTATCCAATCCTTCCAATCCAAAGTCCTTCAAACAATAGTCGATGCTCCTTTCTATGTAACCAACAAAACCCTACACCATGACCTTAATATCCCATTTGTCCTAGGCCTTATCCCATCAAAATTCTCCAAATTCCACCAGAACCTTACCCATCATCCAAATCCCTTTGCACAATCTCTATCCAGCACCACCTATCCATATAATCCTCTAAGGAGGTTAAAACGGCAGTGGCCCCGCGACCTTTTATAGTTTGTAAATATTGGAGTTCTGGCAATGGCCAGATTCTCCACTCACGACATGAGTGTATGTGGCTTAAGCACTCTTGCTCAATCTCTACTGGGTTTAGCCCCAGTGACGCGGTTGAGAGAGAAGTGCTGGGATCTCCTGGAGCCATGCTTTTCCCTCCACACTTGGAGGGACAAGTCTGGTTTGGAGTTCTCTCACCAGATTGCAAATATTGTATATAGGTATGTATGTGTTCTTTTTATTCATTTATTTTTAGGTTATTTTATTCTTGTTTATTGTATATATATTATTTTTCTGTATAATTTATTTTATTTACACTATTATAAATGTCCTTGAGACAGATTTTAATATTTTTCAATAAATAAGATTAAAAAAAAAAATGGTTGATAATAATTGTTGGCCAAAATTTTACATCAGTGGCGGATCCAGAAATTTTCTGAGAGGAAGAGCGCACTCCCGACGGTGTGTGTCACATCTATATATGTGTATGTGTGTGTGTGTGTTTTTTTTTGTTTTGTAGTATTTGCTTACTATTATTTTGCCATAAAATGGCGTTCAAAGTTCCTTTACTTGATAATTGACGTCTATGAACATTAAACAAGACACTTTTACATAATTTTTTCCGCGGCCCCTCCCCTGGATCATGCTAGAGTGTTTGACACCAAGATGTCGGAACCAAAATGAAATCCATCTCGTTCCAACGAGTCTTCTTTTGAATTTAATAACGGAACAAGATAGGACGGAACGACCTGACTTGTTGCAGATGTTAGTTGAAGCTATAACCAGTTCCATTGGTGGACTATTTATTGGAACAGCACTGTTCTAAGCTGACTGAGAGTGTCAAACGTTCATTGAGTTGCAAAAGTGGATATCGAATCTCGAGGTCTTCAAGACATTCGCCTCTATACACCAGACAATTTTATTTTTTCTAACATAATATAAATTATAAAAAATATCATACAATAGAGGATCAAAAATTTTAAAGTAAAATTTCCTACATAAGATTTAACAGTTATGCAACGTTTATGGTTTTACTGTATTTTCTGGTCTATCATTTTCAACAATCTATCATTGGAAAAAATGTTTTATATATCATAAGATAGTATTTCGTTATATGGTGATTTGATAATTTAATCCAATTCTACTTACGGGTCAGTTAAATTACAAATACTTGGGAATAAATTAAATTAAATTAGTTCTTCGATGTCCTGGGTTCATGATTTTTTTTTTCCTCTTTGTAAGATTAGCAGGATTATATACTTATATTTATTTTCGTGATAAGCCCTAATGATTGTCTTTATTTTCATGATAAGTCTTAACGATTATCTTTATTTCCATGATAAGTCTTAATGATTGTCTTTTTTCGCAGGTTCTGATAAACAGAGAGGTGGCTTCATAGAGAAGGAAGCCACCAGAAGAGCACGGCATAGACAACTGCAAATAAAGTAAGTCTAAAAGTCGAAACTTCTGTTCAATATTAAGGTCAGTTTACTAACAATGTCAACATAATATGAACGCTTGCGTATTCAGTTTTCTTTTATTTATTTATTTATTTTCATATGGTTTTAATAGGCTGTGTAGAAACATAGAGCAGAATAGATGGGAATGTTGTAATGGTTCTGTTGGATTTATTTTTTTAAGTTATATCACATAGAGAGTAGCATTTTAATTACTTAAAATATTGATTTTGTAGTTATTATTATTTTTTAATTATACTTATACAGTTATTACCATATAATTATGTTATATAGTTATTTTAGATGATGGAACGATTTTAGGCGTAGAGATATGAATAATATATAGGATTGAATATTATAAACAATAGAACTCCACTAATCCGGATTTGATATTTCCGAAACCAGGATTATTACGTTTAGACTTTTTTTATTTTCAAGGTTTTTGTAACGAAGAACGGTTTCACGTTTCAAACTGTTACTAAGTTTTTATAACATAACTTTGACTGAAAATTACAATTTTAATTGTTCCATTCAAGATGCATTGATTCTGTTCAGAAATATCACGTCCATTTGACAAAAATGTTGAATTTCTCAAATACTATAGTTTAGCGGTATAAAAGGATGTTTTTAAAATGAATTGTTTACTTTGCATTGAAAACGTGAACGAAAAACACAAAAATTAGATGCTAGAATATCATGAGCCATGCCGAATGTAACAAAATGAACAGAAAATAATAATAATTAAAAAAAAAAAAAAAGTAGGATTCATTACATAAAATCATATTTTTTTGAGTGCTACCATTGGGTAGTTACTCAGCAAGTGTATTCATGTCATTATATCAATTATGTCCAAATTTACTTGATGTATTTATGTAATACAGTTGTAAATGTCATAAAGAAATAAAAAAAAAAATCATATTTGTTTTTTCATCATTTAAAAAAAAAATTAAAATTGAAAGACAAAGAATAATTTATGTCTATCGGGTATTTGAAGACTACTGTTATAGTGTTAAGTAATAATAATAAGAATACTAACAATGTTTCATGAAAAATTGTTTAAAAAATTCCTACTTAGTCATTATGGAAATATTTTTGTGAATGACCCACAATTCTAGAACTAGACTAGGTAACGTCATTTAAACTTACCAATTACTCAAATACTACATAATAGACTTAACGTAAATTCAGATGCCTCAAAAATAAAAGGAGGCTATGCTAAGCTCCAGAATTCGGGGGTGATGAGGGGGGAGGGGTCGACAAATAAAAATGTTGGGGGCGGGAATACTGTTTTGCCCTCCCCCCCAATAATGTGACGTAAAAAAACAATTATAAATGAGCTACATGAATGAATAAAATGTGTAAACTAAAATCGATTGAGAAAATTCGACTAGTTGGCTAGTCTAGGACCTACCTGGTATTAGGTATGTAACTATTTTATTGATACCTAAATGTTACTTTTTTTATTATTATTTATATAATATTTACAACTGTATAAAAAAAAATACATCTAGTAAATTCGTACATGGATATAATGACATGAAACACATGTTGAGAAACTACCCTTTGGTAGCACTCTAATAATATGTTTATATTAGAAGATCACGGGGCCATCTTCTTTTCGGACGTCTCTGAGGGTTATCAGGAATGGAATAGGAAGCAATGTTAGAAACAAGAGGGTTGGGATGGTTATAAAGTTTATTATGGAAGGATAGATATCTGGATTGGGTCAAATCTGATAATAAGGAAGGATATTAAGGTCATTGTGAATGATTTTATTTGTAATCAAGTAAGGAGCATTGAGGATTTTACAAAGGTTTTTTAATTATAAAGATTGGATACGAGAGGAATTTGAAGGTTTGGTGGAGCCCCATAGCTCAACTCCGTAAGTCCAAATAGGCCTTATTATAGGCATGTATAAGAGTCTTTTGTAATTAATTGGAAGGTTAGAGCGTTTGTCTATTAAGTGTTGATGTAGTCGGAAACGTCGAGCGGTTTCTTGTCGTTTCAGTCTGGTATGAGGATTCCAAGTTAGACGTTTGTCCAGATGGAGTCCTAGGTAACGGATTTGTTCAACAGGAATGAGCGAGGTGTTGTTAAAGGATACTGAAGGACAGGAAGTCATTGGTTTACGAAGTTACTTTTATTTAAATTGTCATTTATATTCAAAGATAAGAATTTATATCAACATATCATACGGTTTTATATTCAATAACTCCCACAATTTTCACGGGATATTCTTATCACATTTACTGCGGAAAATTAGCCGGATTGTGAAAAACATATTATTTTTATTTGAGGTTGTACACACTAAAAAATCGAATTAATTTTTTACTGTTTTACATTATTCATTTATAGCTGAAAAAGTTCTAGAAATGTACCAATGTTATGTATTCATTCTGTTCATTTTTCCTACTTTTGGTGTCTTGAAGTTTTTTTATTTGTTTCAATAAATTAGGCCATTTTTCACCAACATTTTATTATTACTCATCAATTTAACGTTTCGACCATACTAAGGGTCATTTTCAAAACTGGAAAATTATAATATCATTATTAGTTAATATTCAGCAATTATAAAATGAATTTCTTATTACATTTAATTGAATTGTCTAACGTTCTATGTCAAATTATTTCCGATATACTTAAATTTATATAAAAATATACATAAAGTACTTTTTATTAAAAAAACCCTTACGTGTACGTAAATATAAACATTAAAACTCTAACAATTGAAAACAATTGACCGTTACCTTGATGAGTCCTCCTAATATGTTCATCCTTAATGTTCTAATTAATATGTTCAGTGAACATTAACTTGTCAATTTTTATAGGGGCTTCGCCCACGTCATTTCTGGAGGGACTGACTTATATCGTCCTGGTGGGGACAGTCAAAAGGAGAGGGATTTTCCTTCTAATGTTTTGCATTGGTGGATTATTATATTATTATATACGAATTTTATTAATTATATTTGCGTAAAAAGTATTTATATTGTCCATATCTGTATGGCTGTTAACAGAATTATGTAAATTTTTTGTAATATTTATAGACTCTATAATCTTTCTTTTATTGTTACTACTTTCCTTGTATATTATTTTGGCATTTTTAAAATCAAATTGGTGTTTGTTATATGTTGCATGTTGTGAAAGGCCGGTTGATAGTAATGTATTCAATTGAGTTTATTTATTTCCAACAATATGTATTAAGTAAAAAAAAAAAAATAATCCTTACAGCGATCCTAACAAAAATCCTTAAAATATATAAACAAATTAATTTTAAATATTCAATATAAATATTTGTTCATTTTACAATAATTATGTTGAAGTTTGACACAAAACAAAAACTAACTCAAAATTTTTTTTTTTTGTTCATCGCCCTCCTTCCCCTCCGATCAAAATCGAATGTCTTCGCATATGAGACTATACGACATGAGTGTGACTAGTATGGAAGCTAGCCCAGATCGGTAGCATTCCAAGCACCGAATTTTTTATTGTTTTGATATTTATAGCTAATTGTCTAAAAAATAAATGTAGATACAGTCTAATGTCTTAAGCACATTGCTTTCGAAGAAACTTCCCGCTGATAGCACTATAGTGACTATAAGAAACGAGCAATGCGAAAATACACGAGCCTCAGACCTGAATTGATATGCGTCACATCACTCTATGTGTATATGGCCCGGAGCAAATTAGCTACTTTCTCGTAATTGGCTAATGAGAGCAATTAACTTAACAACTTCAAATCATGGGTTTACTCGCATTCAGGCATCGTTCTAGATTTCTGTGAGACGGGCTTATTCCATTCAATTTTTTTTTTTTCTTTTTAATAATTTTATTGAGGTACAATACATTTTACCACACTTAAGGTTACTGAGTATTAAAGCTCTAAGGTACAATCATACCATATTTACAATATAATTAAATTAAAAAAATGAAATACATAAAAATAGATATATAAAAGATAATAATGTATATATAACAAAAATAAAAACTGTAATAAAAACAAATAAATGTAGCTTATAGTGAAATAATACAGAAAATTCATAAGGGAAAAAAATTAAATTAATATTAATGATAATAAATTATTAGAATTGAGTAAAAAAAAAAAAAAAAAAAAAAAACTAAACTAACAGTCATACTTATTTACAACCATTCAATATTAGACAAGAAGAAAAACAAAAAATAATCATGCAATTTTCTTTTATGGTTTAAAAAATACTGACTCCTCTTTCTCTTTCTATACGCGAAATTTGATGCTCTACAACTTTCATTCTATGGGTTTTTCCTCTGAGGGAACTCATTTCTAAGTTACAGGGCTAATTATAGTAATTTGTCCCAGTTTTTGGCAAATTTGGTAAAACTCAGAGTTGGTTGACCGTGGTTTTATACCTTACCGCGAAACCAAATGTTAAAGTATATGTACTCGTTTGACGCAAAATTTAACGTTCTTTAATTTATTAAAGAACATATTTTTCGCTTTGATGCATTTTTTAGGAGTTATAGATGAAAAACCCAAAAAATATCGAAAAAATCTGACTTTTTTGGCTGTAAAAAGTTTTCCCTTGGTGGCCTGCGTTAGCAATTTTGTTTTTTACATGTCTAAACCCATATATACAAGTTAAACAAATAGAAACTTTTCTCACATTTTTCGCAATGGATTTCCCGTTTCGATCCTCAAATTATTGGCCTAGTATTCTTTAAATCAGCCGCCATTTTTGAAAGCAGCGGCTCCGGAACGGCAAACAAGGTTTTTTTTTACTCAGAATAACATACACTTTCGTAATTTACAATTAAACCTTCGCCTGCGATCAGGTCGATTTTTGGGCCCTGGCTTGAGGGCTATAAGGATGAGAAAGATAGACAGGAACTAGAAAATTAATTTTACTAAGGAGGGTAGAAGAATTGATATTTATATTAATTAATTGAATATTGATGGAAAATAATCATCTTATTGATGCTCCTATGTGCTAAAGAATCAATATTTATATTAATAT